AAAAATGCATCTGATACGTAGCGATGCAGACAGAAGCGTGTACAGTATGAGCCAATCAGTGGCAGTAATGACAGAGCATGCGCTGTTACGCAAAAAACGCGATAGAGTGAAGCCGCGGAAGTCGAAGCACGAAGTGGCGAGGGTTCACTGTATAATGGAGTTGTATTCCACTGTAAGATACTTAAAAATAAAAGTTCTCATTACTATTGCTTATTATCAGTATCTGTATAAGTCTGGTCCTTATGTCTTTGAGAATTAAAAACATTATATCTGAACATTTGTAAGTGAACGTTTGAAAATGATACCTTCAGCAAATGACATGATACAATAATGTATGAAGTAAAAAGCTAAGGGTCCTAGCGCAGTTCCTACTTGAGTACATCAATTTTTTTTGGTTCAGCACACTCGCTAACACACACACCACCCTCCCCCAACACACACACACACACACACGCACACGCGCGTTCTCATAGAGACCCCAGAGGGAAGGTAAAACTTCCCCTGTGGGTTTCCAAGACTGTAACTCTTTACAGGTATAGAAAGCCTCATCTTTCTCCTGAGAAGCAGCTGCTGGTTTCAAATTGCTGCAGCTAGCAGCCCAACAGGTTACCTCCTGCACCACCAGGGCTCCTTTTCAAGCACGCTGTAAATCAAGAAATACTTGTCTTAAGTACCAGGACAAAAAAGGAGTCTTTTGACTGGAATGTGTATATGTGGGAGAAGACAACCTAATACTCAAAATTAGTAGCAAATATCTACTGAGTAGTCGCCATATAAAAGGCACTGTGCTAAATGCTTTTCATGTATTACTTCAATTAAATCTTTACAACTATGAAGCTACTCCATTTTACAAATGGAAAAAACTGAAGCTCATGGTCCAAAGTTTTTAAGAGGTGGATTCATATTTAAACCCAGACCTATCTAACTCCCAAGCTTACTTATTAAATACACTGACAAGTTTGTTAAATCTATACATGTGAATATATTGTCAAATGATAGGAAAACAAAAAACATTTTGAACTATTATCCCTCTTTGTGGTATGAATGTCTTGTTAATACCATAATTAAAGGGCAAGGCCTGAAAGAAAACCTACTTCATATTTCAAACACTGCTCAAAAGAAACCTTTTGCTTTCAAACTTACTTTTTGAGAGAACCAGTCTGGAGGGCGGCCAGGTTCTGCAAATGGCTTGATTGCTCTGCTAACTGATACCCTGACAAAAATGAGAAAAGCCTTATTACATACCAAATAGAAGGGGACAAAAGGGCATGTTCAAAGTTCAAGATTTTGAGGTTATAAAGAGCATTTTGTAACAAAAAACTGAAGTTGGAAAATATTCTGGAATATTGGACTATGAGAAATGATACAACTACTTAAAAGTTATTTACTGGAGAAGAGCCATCACGAAGCAGTTTTTCATGAGTGATAAAAGTAAAGTATTAGGAAGTAGTATACTATCATTTACTTAGGATGTCGATTTTGCTCTCGATTGGTTTTCTAGAAAAGATTTGTCTTTTGAAAACCAACTTGTAAAACATTCTAGACCACCACCAACAAAAATGTTAATACATTTTAACTGACTAATAGATCTTTGGAAATGTAAGGTAAGGAAATACTTCAACTAAGTATTTCATAATAATAATTATACTCAGAGAACGTGGACTCTATGGGAACCTCCATAACAGGTAAAGGACATTTATTAAAAAAACTCACAGCTTACTTCACTCTCAACAGATGATTGAACCCATATATAAAAAACACCAAAGAATAAAAGAGAAAGCTACCATATTGAATAAATACATCCAGCAACGTTTCAGGATACAAATCATCCAGCAAAAATTGTGTTTGACAATTAAAAAAGTAAATGAAAAGAAATTCCATTTTATGAAGAGACTTAAAAGAATAATTAGGAGTAAATTTAACCAAGTATGTAAAAGACCTGTACACTAAAAACAATACACTGTTGAGTTAAATTAAAAGCTCAAAGCTCACTGCAATGGAGTAAATTCTGAAGGTCCTAGCTAAATGGAAAACCATTACGTTCATGGATTGAATTAAGGTGCCAATACTACTTAGTATGTAGTTTCAATGTAATCCCCATCAAAATCTCAAAAGACATTTTTTACAGAAATGGTTAAACAGTTGAATGCATAAGGAATTGTAAAAACCAAAATCCTTGAGTTGATTCCAACTCATAGCAACCCTGTACTGTGTAAGATTTCTCAAGGCTATCTTTAGGGTAACAGGTTGCCACACCTGTCTTCTGTGGAGAATTCTTAAATACCACACCAAAAGCGAGAGCAACAGAAGAAAGATAAATTGGACTTCATCCAAGTTAAAGACTTGTACATCAAAGGGCATTATCACCTATCCTACAAAATGGAAAAAAAACATTTGTAGATCATATATGCTATGGGTTAAATATATAAACATTCCTATAAACAACAAAAAGACAAAAACATAACTAAAAATGGGGAAAGGACTAGAATATGGAAATGAACAATAAGCACTTGAAAAGACACTACACATTACTAGTTTATTAGGAAAATACAAACACCCAAGTTAAATCACTTCACACCCACTAGTTATCTTTAATCCTTATACCAACAATAAACCCTAATGTCTTTAAATCAATTCATAATTGGTAAAGAATATCTGCTTAGCATTGCACTCCTTAAGAATTAGGTCTTGGGAGGGAGGGGAAAAAATGAGGAGCTGATACCAAGGGCTCAAGCAGAAAACAAATGTTTTGGGAATGACGAGAGAAACAAATGTACAAATGTGCCTGACACAATGGATGGATGGCTAGATGGACTGTGGTAAGAGTTGTACGAGCCCCCAATAAAATGTTAAAAAAAGAAATTAGCTCTCGGAATCAGTTTAACAGCATCTCCAAAGATGATACAAGAAACTTAGGTGGCCATGAGTTTATATTAATGAGGGAGAAAAAATTGGGGGAATGATCGCACAACTTGAAAAATGTACTCAGTCTCTGAATTGTACATGCTGTATATAATCTTAAAAGCTACAAAAAAATTAGCTTAAAAATGGAAAATAAATGTGGAAGAGGATGTTACGAAACTGGAACTCATTATCAATTGCTGGTGAGAATGGAAAAAAGTCTGTGGGTTCCAAATTAAAGTTAAACACAGCATTACCTTCTAACCCAGCAAAAAGAATTGAAATTGGGGGAGCAAACAAGAACATTCATGTGCCCCAATGTTCCCTGCAGCAGTACTCATAATAACCAAATGGAGGGAACCCAAAAATCCCTCAACAGGTGACTGGAGAAATGTGGTAATATATGCTATGACTAGGGCTGGAAAGGGGAAGATGGAGAACCACTGGCTAATGGGTGTAGTTTGTGCTTGAATTAAATTGTGCCGAATTTATGCTTGAATTAAAGTTTGAAAATGGTGTATAGTTGCACAACACTGTGAAAGTCAAACCTTTGACTTATATACTTAAAAATGACAAATTTTATAGAAATTTTACAATTCTTAAAGCTTGTTAAAAACAATGAATGTATAATTGATGTCCCGATTTTTTAATGCCTAAATATCAATGTATATTATGAATACAAAAACATCTGAAAACAAAAAACATCTGAAATCATACATCTAGTCTCTTCCAGTAGTGCTGTGAAGTGCTGTGGCAGGCCAAGAGGAATGTTTACTTTAGTTTGGGGTCTTTTTTCAGTTGTAGTAATTATCTTGATTGTAGATCTATGGATACATACATGAATGTCATAAACCGTATTTACACTTTAAATGCATGCAATTTATTGTGCATCAGTCGTACATCAGAAAGAGAGAAGAGGGTGAAAAGTATGACCTTACTTAAAACCACTCTTCTTTTTGTTGTACAGCACAAGGATAGGACAGCTAAAAGCCCAAGCGGCAACTGTAAAATCAAATTGTTATTAAAAACACAGCTATAAGTCACTTAACATAAATTCAGGCAACATTTGACCACATGTACAAAGTTGTCCTATGGTTTCAATATTTGTTGGGAGGGGGCGTGCAGGGGAGTATTTAAAAAAGGATAGCAATTATCTTTTTGTTATTTCCCCTGAGTAATTTTAAAGACCCCAAACCTAGAGTCAGACTTTTGCAGGTTAAACAGAGGACATGGTCTGGGTGCTGGGGCAGGGGTTGTTATTAGACTTATTGCTCAGAGTTCAAAGTGGCTTATGGTTAATTAGTAAAACCATGTTTTGTTACTTTGTTTTGGTAATAACTGTTGAGTTATTCAGGTAAGTGTCATCATTTCCCCCCCTTGTCCAGGGGTTTCATAAGAATTCGGTTAATTTTAAAAAGTAGTTTTTAAAAGTTCACAACTTAAAAAAAAAAGTCTTTATTTTCTTCTATTAATCAGACTATGTAACATACTTAAACATTAAGGAATCTGCTTCATAATCTTCCCTAACAGAAAAATATGAGGTTCTAGCTTGAAAATACATTCATTAAAGTACAGCAGAAAGCAAGGGCTTACACAGATTCACTGAATTGAAAGTAGAAAAGTTCACCTCCTGTTTTTCCTTAGTCTTCTTGCCAGTCAATTTACAATCTTCTTCAATTAAAATGTGACAATAAACTGAAAGACAAAGAACTAAGTTTGGCTTTCAGTCTCTGAATTCTGATAACAGTTTGAGCAAGTATTGTCTTCCAAAAACAGCCAAGCCAAACTCCAAAACCAGGATAAGCAAGTAGAAAGTTGCACAGGTACGCATTCTGGCAACAAGCCCTAGAAGAGTGGTGGTGGTGATGATATGCTCATAATGCATATTCATTAGTCCAATGACTAAAACCCTGGATCCTGGACTCAAAGCTTCTTTGTCACGGGTTTCCAGAATTAGTGAGAACGCTTAAGCACGAGAGGTGGTAGAACCTCTCTCACACCTTCCTTGATTTGTCTCTACACTTATATCCTTTCTGATAATAATAAATGGGTAACTTTAAGTATAGGTAAGAGTTTTCTGTAAGTTCTTTAAGTCATTCTAGCAAATTATCAAACCCACCAGAGGCATTGAGAACCAGCAGAGAAGTTAGCCTTTGTTTAATTGGCACTGGTTGAAGGGCTACTTCTGAAGCACACCTTTAAAGGGTGGTGGTGAGAAGAAATGTGTATGAATTGTTGAATATGAAAATGTCACCTAATTCACAATTAAAAGTAAAAAAAAAAAAAGTTCAACATCATTAGTTACCAGGAAAATGCAAATCAAGCCACAATGAATGCTGGGGCAGTGATTATTTAATGTAGCTCTTCTAGTCAAAGTCCCTAACTACCATCAGATGACCTTTCCCTGCACGTCTGCTAAGAAGGTAGGAGGAGATACTGATAGGATTCACCTGTAACTGTCTTCTTGCCGTGTATAAAATGAGCCCTCTGTGAAGCAGAAGGATCTCATGACCAGCAAGAACCAGGAGTGGAGCATGTCCTCTGGACCTGAGGTCCTGATGCAGTGGACCTCCTGGATCCAAAGGACAGCTATAACATCAAAGGAGGAGCAGCAGCACCAGGAGGCAAAGCATGGAACAGAGTGGTGCATTTCCCAATCCACGGAGCAAATAAAGTGGAGCTGAGTGCCTTTTGGCTAAGACTTACAGGAGTGGGCACTTCATTCAGAGAGTGGGTTTGCTGACCCACAGAACGTGCTTGAGCTGAAGATCATCGATCATCGGTGAGGCTTACAGTGACGCTTATAAGCAGACCTGAAAGAACTTTGTAACATGTCCTGATAAACAATTACCTTGAGCATTTCTCACTGGCATTAAACTTGCTAACTTCTTTAACAGACTCTTTAATCATGAATTTGTGTTGTTTTAATTTAATTATGTTATCTATTTCACATCTCTGGATCTAATACTCATTGCAATGGCTACATAGAACTCAGACAAAATTCATGACAGACATTGAGATTTTTTATTTTTAAATTTTTTTTATGCAGTCGAGTTTCCCACATTTGGGGAAATCGCAGGGGTCAGCACATCTGGAGTGCAATGGATAAGCCTCGCCCTGGGAAAACCACCTTCATGATCATGGTATCTCCCCTGCCAGGTTAAGTATGAATTTTTTTCTTAATTATAGAGTAGCTAAGGCAAATAGAAGAAATGATAAAGTCAAATAGCAACAACAACAACAAAAAAAATAGCAACCAAAAATTTCAAAGGGCAGCTCAAGAAGATTAAGGAAAGGTGGTTTATAATTGCT